AGTAGTTTTGAATTTAGGTGCTCCCAGGGAGTACAACCAGCTTCTGCCAGGCCTCCCTGCTCATGATTGCTCTGGTTCCTACTGCTGCACGTGGCCAATGTGGGACAGGGAAAGAAGTTCTGTACCAGGAATTGGGAGACCTGGCTTTTAGTTCCAGCTCAGATACCAACTCAAAGTGAACTTGGACAAATGACTTCCCTTTCTAAGCCTCAATTTCTTCTTCTTAGAATGAAGGGCTGACTTACATCATCCCAGAAGTCTCTCCCTCAGTTAACATTCTGTTCTGTTCCAAACTGTCTTCTGACCATCACACTCCAGGCCCAAGAGTCCCTTCCAGCTCTGACATGCAACAACTCTAAATTCTTTTAAAGTTCTCCACAGCTAGCCTGATATGTCCCTGTTGTCCCTTCTCTGTCCTCTAATCAAAAGGCCTGCTTCTTGAGGGGTTGGATTATCTTGGGGGTTTTTAACGTGGAGTCCATTAACTTGTTTTTTAAAAAAAATTTTGATAACTGTATTCCAATATGACTGGTTTCCTTCATAATTCTGTGTATTTTATTTTATTCATTTAAAAACATGGCTCTGAGCAGGGGTCCACAGGCTCACCAGACTGCCCAAGGAGCCCACAACACAAATAAGGTTGAGAATTCTGGACCAGAAGATCTGTCTTTAAGGCCTCCTCCAACTTTTAAATCTTGAATTCTCTCCAAGTCCATCATCCTATACATTTGCCTGACTAGGTGTGTATGTCTGTTAGAGGGTGTGTGTGGTGTGTGTGTGTGTGTGTGTGTGTGTGTCCCTAGGGGGAGAGGTGCTGGTAATATGTTGCAAGACAATTTGGTAAAAAAAAAAAAAAAGACAATTTGGTTCCAGTCCTGGGAGTTAACAGACCTGGATTTCCAGTGCTAGCTCTATCACATACTAACTGTGTGACCTTGAACAAATTGATTCCCCTCTCTCGGGACAGGGGAATGTTTGCACATCTGTAAAATGGGGACTCTAATACTTGCACTACCTATCTTGTGGAATTGTGAGGATCAAATGAGATATATAAAGCAATATGTAAACTGCTTTGGAAACATGACCTATCATCGTTACCTCCAAACTTAGATGAAGACAGACAAGCAAGGGGGCCCCCAAAGACACCATCTTTACCAGTAACGGTGTCTTGCCAATGGCAGAGGAGCTCTCCCATCCCACCGTCCCCGACTCTTAATTGTTCCTGCCAACATACACATCAAACTGCTCAACCAGACACACTTGTGCACTCTCTCCCCCACCTTTTTTTCCCTCTCCTGTCTTGCACTTTCTCTCTCCTCTCTTCTTTTCTCATTCTTTCTTGTGCACTCTTTCCTCTCTTGCATGCTCTCATTCTCACTTGCGTGCTCTCTCATTGTCTCTCTCCCTCTCTTTCTCTCTCTCTCTCTCCCCCTATCCCCAGTGGTCAAGACCTTAATGCAGAGGAGCTATCAACTGGGGAGGTCAGAAACCAGTCCTTTTTGGCCAACCCTCGGCTCTCTTTCCTGTGGCTATGACATGGCCTTCAACTCCCTTACTGACTTTTCTGTCCTCAACCAGGCCAGGGTTTCAGGGTCCAAGGGCAAGGCTACTTCTGGCTAGGGGACAGAATGGATTTGTTAGACTCCTTTGGTACTGGTGATGAGAAATATCCAACTCATGACAGACTAAACAAACCCAGGTAACCCATCTTAACCATTCTCCATCACAAACACCCCACCAGACACATGCTGGGAGCCTCTAAACAACACAGATTTCTGGGCCACAACTGCAGCTAGCTTCTTTTCTCTTACCATCTATGCTGATGTGGTTTAGTATAAATGTGAAATTTCTGAAATCTCTTCCCTTTCTCACTACCCGACTCTTTGCTCACACGGACTTCAGGGAAACTGAGGCAATGCGGGACTCTGGAGACCACAGTACCAGTCCTGGCTCGGCCATAAATTAGTCACATGACTTTAACAAGTCCTTACCCTTCTTTGCTCCTCTTCTTACTCTGTGAAATGGGGATAATCACTCCTTTCCTGCTTCCTTCTAGTGTTTTAGGGAAGGTCAAAATGAAATAATGATAAAGTATTTTGAAAATTGCATATGATGCTATAAACACGGGAGGCATATTATCTGTTCTTGATTTCATGGTACTTTTATAACATGTGTGTGATATTCACTGGTATCCACAAAATATTAAAAGAATTGGAGGAAGCCTCGCATTGTGTTGGGTGGAGCCACTATGGAAAATGTGCAGAAAAGCACAGTCAAGAATTAAAGGGGATAAGAAGACATGGAAGGGCTTATCAACACTAATGAGATCACAGATCCATTCAAGAATTATTTAAGGTGAGATCAGAGATCCATAAATCAGACATATAAAACCAAAAAACAGGTAGGTGCCTTTGTAAAACTAGACAGGTTAACACTGTGGAACAGTTGTTTCTTTAAAAAACAAATTGAGGCACAGCCCAAAAACACCACCGTGTGTGTGTGTGCGTGTGCGTGTGTGTGTTCTGAAGTTTCTTTTTTTCTTCCTATTTTTGAAACCATTTTTGATACATGACCTTTTTCTTCCCATGTAGCAACAGTGAGGGAACACAGATGGACAGCCTGAATGAGAGCCATACCAGGACACAAACAAGAAATACGAAAAGGACCAAAAGAAGCTTCCAGTGTGGCAGGGGGATCCTCTATGGAGACATCAGAGGGCAGAACCAAGAATCCCCCAAGATGGAGAAGTGCAGAAGGGTGGAAATCACTGCATCACTGAAGGACCACACAATGACCAAACGTTGCGATCGTCGCCTTTCTCTATCGGGTGTAGGGTGACCTCCTTTGTGAGGAGGCTCTAAGAAGAAGGGGATCCCAGTGTCCTTCCAGCTTTGAGTCTATTTTTGCTTTGTCTCCATCCTTGAGGAGACTGAGAACAAATCTGAATTGGTTTAATCTTCTAAGAAAAGCCATTGCTTAAAGTACGGAAGAAGATGTGCACTCCTTAAGGAGAAGACCTACCTTGTTCATCTTTTCATTCCCTTGTTTCCCTTCACAACACTGATCGCCAAAGCCCCCGCAAACAGTAGGTGTTAATGTCTGCTGAATTACCACTGAACTCCTGAAACCCCAGTTTTAAGCAGTAAGATCTCCTTACAATTCCATTTCATCCAACAGCCCAGGAAAACATCAGGATTTCCCCCCTCCCACCCAAAACAACCCAGGGAGGGAAGTGGTGGACTGACCTTTTCCCAAGCTTCAGCCAGCATCTGAGCGGTCCCAACCTGAGGGGCTTCTCAGGAGTCTGTCCCAGGATGGGTCTGGGGACCTTAGGTGGTCATCTCCCTTTCTCAGCATGTCCCCTTCCTCTGAGTATAACCTGCATTTTGTTTTCTTACCCCAGCTTGAAGGGATGTTTGGTCCCCCAGTACCCAGAGGATGCCTAAGTCGAGGCCATGCTGAGGTGCTGCAATTCTCTGGCCCCACTGGGAGCTCTGCTCCATTCCTTTCCTCGGCCATGTACCTTCAGCATTATTTTCAAAAGATGCTTCCTCCTCTACTGTGTCCTCCGCCCTCTGGTTGTATGTCTTTATTGCTTTATGCCCACCTGCTGCCCAGCCCTCACACCGTCTGCCCCTTCTCCAGGTAGCTTCACTTGCTGTGTGACCTGGGACAAGTCAGTTCCCCTCTCTGGGTCTTGGTTTCCTCATCTGTAAAAGGAAGGGGTTGGACAAAATGGCCCCTTCCAGCTCCATGAGTTTTTTGAAATGTTTATTGCTATTGCTCCACGATCCCCATTTCACCCTATTTTTCTTACTGCCCCCACAGTCCTTTCACTGGAAGCACCTCAAATGTTACTCAATAACTTCTTCAATGAACAAAATAGTGTTAGCAGCATCTGGGACCTGGTGCTGGGCAGCAAGGACTTCTGGTGCTCTGGTCCTAATCTGCTTTGCTGTGCCTGCCCCGACACGCCAGACTTCGTCCCAACAAGTGGCGGTGGTACGGTCTCCACCACACCTACCTCGAGAACTGACCCCACGCCCCACTAGCTCTTGCTCCTCCTCCCCCGGGGGGGCAGCTCGGGATGATAGATTTCCTGGGCTCTCTTTGGGTGCTTGGGCCTGGTAACTTCATCTCCCACCCACAAAACAGCTGGCCTTGGAAAGCAGACACCCTGATGCATGACTTGAGATCCCTGTGTTTCTTTTCTATCCACCTGTACCATCTGGGGCTGTTGCAAGCATCAGTTGCCCTCAGAGGAACTGCCTGGTTATGACACAGTGCAATCAGAGTGTCCAACACCCAGGCGGTCCAGTACTTGGGAGGTCTGGTACCCTCAAGGTCTGGTAATCAGAAGATCCAGTACCCAGAAGGTCTGACAGTCTCTCAAGTTCTGGTCACCAAAAGAACCCAAAAGGTCTAATACCTAGAAGGTCCAGCACTGAGACCTCTTACAACAAAGTTGCAAAGCCTATGCCAGTTTCCAGGTGTAGCCCCTCCTTTCTTTCCATCCCTTGGCCTCCAAGACCATTCCCTTCCCCCCGACCCTCCCACCCCCCACCCCTCTATTAAAAAGGCAGTCTGACCTTTCATGAGGAACAAATCCAAAGCCTTCCTATGTCCTAAAACTAATGTGTCTCATTGCTAACATCCCCATGACTTTTGGATTCCTATCGATGGGCCGGCTTTGGATGATGGATTATGATCAGTCATGACCGCTCTCTGGAAGACGCGAGTTTCATTTGTATCACGGTATGGAAGAGTCAACAACTGATATCACTCCCCCCACTCCTCAACAGAACCAGAGAAGGAAGTCAAACCAGAATGAAGACCGCTCACCACACCATGCACCATTCTCGCTACAACAAACAAACGAACAAGCCCAGTCACTGGCTGAACAACTCAAAACAAAACACCAGCAGGGGCGCGCCACCCCAAAACTGAACGCTTGGGCCTAGAAATAAGAAGACTAAAGAGACTGTGACCACTGGCCAGGGTCAGAGTGAGGGTCGTCATTTGGGGGATGTGGCGGGGAGTGGGCTGGCAGAAAGGGACCAGGGGAAGAGGGAAATCAGAAAATGCAGCTTTTTCCCCAAAAAAAAGAAAAACCCCAAACACTAAAGGATGCATAAATTGACCCTGGCACTTTTCAGTGGTTGTTGTTCTTGCAGACGGGCATGGCGCTGGTCTGGAATCATGCCAGCACCGGGTGTAAGACTTGAGTTGTTGCATACCATGTCTGACTCCCAATCTGTGGAGACAAGATAGAAGCAAGAGGGAATATTAAGGAACAGGGTCATTCATACGTGAGGGCTACTGAAACACATTTGGGGTAAAAAAAAAAAAAAGAATCCTTGTTATTGGGCAAAGGAATGCTGGAAAGTATCGTTACTTGGAATCGAAGAATTTAGAACTGGGGTGTGGGGTGAGGTGAATGAGGACTTAGAGATCAGTTGGTCAGAGAAACCCAGAATGTCCATATAGGAAGGGAATTCAGATCATCTAATTCAACTCTTCCTACCTAACCCCCAAACCCCTTCCAAACCCCCTCATTTTACAGAAGAGAAAACTGAGATTAATCAACTTACCAAACTCATATAATTAGTCAGTAGTGATGGCAGGATTTGAACCCAAGCCCTTTGACTCCAAATGCAGCCCTTTTGCCAAACACCACCAAAGGTGAGAAGACCTTTGGATATCTAAGCTAAAGTTCTGCTAATGCCATATCCCATTTGATGACAGTGGGCAGTCCATTTTCTGTGTACATGATTCTCTAAGTGAGAAAGGTGAATGAAGTGAGAGGCAGGTGCTGTGGCACTGAGGATATTTCCCTGATCTGTGTGACCTTGACCTTCCTCTTTCTGAACCTTCATTTCTTCCTTCACCTGTCTGCCAGGTCCCTGGTCTCTGGGTCACAGATTAGGCCTTGGGGCCTGGGGCCTTTCAGCTTTGGCACTTCTGTCTGTGGCCTGTGCTACCACGCTGGTGGTGCGTCCATCCCCTGGCCCTCTGCATCCTGTGGGTCTCAGCCAGCTCCATACTACATGGAGGCCCACTTCTTGCACCCATCCCACCACTGACCATTTTCCCTTTCCCTCCCTCACCTTCCTTCTCACTCCAGGATCAGAACTGAATTGTTATTGCTACTGCTTCTGCAAAGGAAACTCCTCATCTCAGTGCCCCTGTAAGTCCCCAGACTATAACATGCTTCCCTGACCATTACCCTACATGTTTTGTCTTCCCCCAGTAAGTTCCTGGAGAGCAATGACTTTCTTATTTATCTGCATCCTTAGAGCTTGGCACAGAGTAAGCGCTTAATACATGCTTTTTCATTCATTCATTCCCCATCTCAACAGCTGTGAACAAAGTAGTTTATAAACTGTAAAGCACTACAGAAATTTTAGCTGTGATAATAGTTTCTGATTCACACCATTAGCTACTGCTAATAACCTTATGTGTTCAGCACAACACTGGTGCTACATGACCCTGTCATGCATCTTCCACTGCCTGCCTTGCCTTTCTCACCCCATGATGCCTTTCAAAGGAAATACTGCACTTCCTTGCCCTCCAACCTCCAGTGGACCCAAAGGTGAAGTGTGGGAAAGTAATTCAGCTGTATGTGAGCTGGGCCACACAAGCTTAGCAGAAGTTACAGGGAGGCAGATATCAATCAGTTCAACATAATAAATCCTTAATAAAAGGATTTGTTCTGTGAAGTTTGGATTCAGTCAAATGGTCACACTTGAGGACGCAGAGGACAACATGCTGCCTCGAGGCCGCAGATTCCCCACCTCTGGGCTAGAATACTATTTATCAGGCAGGGCACTGTCTAGGGGGTGCCCATTCAGGTAAGGCTTGACTAGATAACCAATGAGGTCCCGAGGATTCGTGATGCTTGAGTACAAAACACAGAAGCGGCTACTTTTCCCTTCTCTCTTAATGCCCATTCATCCCTGGGAAAGGCAGGAAGAGCCATGGGCTGGGAGTCAGAAAATGTGGATTCCAATCCCAGTTTTGCCATTAAAACAATGGCCTCTGGCATGTCAATTCCCTTCTCTGGACTTCCATTTCCTTCTTAGTAAAATAAAGGGCTTGAACTAGATTGGCCCCGAGCTCTTTCCAAGCCCCGCCATTCTATTTTCTAGGATCTCGAGCATACCGTAGGCACTGCATAAATATTTGGTGAATTGACCTAAACCCCTGATAGCTTTAACTGAGATTAGATGATATTCTGCGAGGGCTCTGGAGGAAGTTGCTTAAAGTTTAGGATAAAATCCCTATTGTTGCTGCTGACAGTCATACCTCCACCTCCTCATCCCCTAACAGGAAAAACACCTGGACAAGGGTCAAGCAAGGAGCACTCAGAGTGCAGGGTGGGATAAAGTCGGAGATTTCCACTCACGTGAATTGGCTGCTGAAGTTTACCAGTGTGGAGGTACATAGCTGTACGTGGGGGTCCCTTGGGCCCGGTACGTTGGCACGGAGACGGGGTGAGCTCCGATTGCAGTGTGCTGTGGCGTGGTTAACAGGGTACCTGTTAAGACAAAGAAAGGAAAACAAATCTTGTCATAGTGGCCCAGCTTTGACCCTTATTAGTTGGGTGACCACAGGCAAATCACTTCACCTTTCTAAATCTCAGTTTACTCATCTGTCAGATGGAGAAAATAATACTACTGCTACACGGTACCCAGGGGAAAAAAGAGCTTCATACTACAAATGTCTACAGTAAGACATTCTGCTCGATGCTGACAACACAAACGCAACAATGAAGCCATCCGTGCCCTCAGAGAGCTTACATTCTACCTGAAGGATGCAAAATGTTTACTGTTAAGTATAACACAAGATAATGTAAGGAGGGAGAGAGCATTGGGGGTGGAGGGAGAGAAGGAGGGAAGATGGCCCCTGAGCTGAACATTAATTAAAGGAAAGGACGCTAGAAAGAAGAGGAAATGAGGGAGGGCATTCCAAATCTAGAAGATGGCCTATGAGAATGTCACGAATTGGGAGATGGAAGGCCAAGTTTTGGCAAGAGGCAGTAGCCCAGTTTGGCTGGAATATACAGTGAGTGAAGGGAGTTGGGGCAATCTGAAATAAGGCTGTAAAGAAAGATCTAGCCAGACTGTGAAGAGCTCAGAATGCCAGGCAAGGAGTCTGTATTTTATCCCAGAGGTGACAGAAAGCCACAAGTTTTCTAAGCAGGAGAATGACGGGATTAAGTCTTTGCCTTCAGGAGATTATTTCTGGCAGCTGTGTGGAGGACTGACTGGAAAGAAGAGAGACTGGAAGCAGGGAGACCAATGAAGAGCCTATTACAGGGCAGCTAGGTTGCGCAGTGGATAGAGCATCGGCCCTGGAGTCAGGAGGACCTGAGTTCAAATCCAGCCTCAGACATCTAACACTCACTAGCTGTGTGACTCTGGGCAAGTCATTTAACTCCAATTACTTCACCCCTCCCCCCACCCCCAAAAAATAAACAAAAGTCTATTACAATATGCCAGATGAGACATGATAAAGGCTTGAACTGGGGTGATAGCTGTATAACCGGACAGAAGGTGGCAGGTGCTAGAAGTGCTGTGCAGGTAGACTCAACAAGACTTAGTAACTAACTAGAGATGCGGGAGAGAGGCAGTGAAAGAGGGAAGCGTCAAGGGTGATGCCAAGATCAGGAGGCTGGGAGACCAGGAGGATCACAACGTCTTCAACAGAAACAGCCACAGCCACATCTGAAGAAAAGGCAGACTTAGTGGGGGGGGGGGGGGAGTAAAAAATTCCATTTCTTCTTCATCAATGGGAAGAACAAAATTCTACATGATGTGGTTATATTCCATTCTGTACATGCTGGTTTTGAGTTAACAATGGCACAACCAAATAGAGATGTCTAGCAGGCAACTGCAGATACTGGCTAGGAGTGGGAATTGTATACATAGAATATGGGAGTCATCTATGCAGAGGTAATTGAATTCACAGAAGTGGATCAGATAACAAAGGGAGAGAGTTCAGAGAATGAGGAGGCAAATTAGGATCAAATCGTGTAAGTCACTAATATTTAGGAGGTGAAAGATAAATGACGAACCAATTAAGGAGACTATAAGGAAGTGAGATGGAATAGACAAACAGGTAAGAGGAGAATAAGCAGCAAGGAGCGCCACGTAGGACAGGGAGGAAAACTGGTGAACAAAGTTTGGTCAATAGTGTTGAAAGCTGAGGAAAAGTCAAGAAGGATAAGGGCTGAGAAAAGGCCATTAACTTCCATATTTAAGGAACCAAAGAAAATAGTTTCATTACCAGTTAATGGGTGGTGAGACAGCTAAGGCAATTCAACTCAACAAGTATGGGGATTATCAAGATAAAAAGGGAACAGTCCTTCCCTTCAAATCCTGTAATCTGGGGCAAGTTCTTTCTTTTCAATGGACCCTGGTTTAATTAACTATAAAATGAGGAACTTACAGTAGGTGATCTATAAGGTCCCTCCCAATCCTAAATCTTATGATTTAGAATGTAACCTCTCTCTGGGGGAATCTGCATTTAAGAGGACTAAGTAGGTAAGGCCAATATTTAACCCAATGGAAAAACTTTCATGGTAAAACTACACTCACTTAGGTTGAAGAATAACTATTTTCAGGGTAGATTTATCATTAGAAGGAACCTTAAGCATCCCTCTCTCTCTCCCTAGCTTGGAACAACAAAAACAACACTTACCTGCTGACATAGCCATGGTGGTTCCAGCAACCATGCCCATTGCTACCCCATTGGTCCTAGGAGCAGCCACAGGTGCTGGGTAAATGGCTGACGGAATGCTGTTGGGCTGGACAACGGTGGTGTGGTGGATGACATGGGGCTGGGCGGCATACACAGGCTGTGTATAATAAGCTCCCTGAGGAAATACAAATTAACATGTAACAAGTTTCTTCAGGTGTCACTCTTGAGGAAGAGAGGAAGGGACAGAGGAAAGGAAGCCTGGCAAGACTTATGTCATGTCTATAGCTATGAAATGTGAAAGGTGGCATGGTGGATAAAGCACCAGATCTAGAGTTAGGAAAACCAGAGTTCAAATCCAACCTCAGACGCTAGCTATGTGATTCTGGTTAAGTCATTTAATTTGTTTGCTCCTGTTTCTTCATCTATAAAATGGGGGTACTAGTAGCACCTACTTCCCATGGTTGTGAGGATAAAATGAGATCATATTTGTAAAGCATTCTGCACACCTTAAAGTGCTATATAAATGCTAGCTATCATTAGTATTGTTCAGGAAACCTAGGTTCCAGTTCTGGCTCTGGGACTGCCTCACCTTGTGACTTTGGACAAGTCATTTTCCTTCTCTGGCCTCAACCTCCTCTATGAATGAAGGAGTTGAACTAAAGGCTCTCTAAGGTTCCCTTCACATCCTAGTCACATCAAGTCCTAAGTTCTGACACTGGGTGTTCTAATGTCCCTTTCAATTCTAACGTTCTGTTAGAAGGTCCCTTTTACTTTTGACATTCTATATTCAAGTATTCTTTTTACTAAGAATACTTTCCACCTCTTACGTTTCATGTTCTAAGATCCTTTTCAACTAACCTCCTATCGTCTGAGGGTCCTTCCAGTTTTAACATTCTGTACACCGCTAACCAACAATGTTCCAAGGTCTCTCCCCCATCTTTGACATTCTGTTGTAAGATCTTTCTGGTATCCTATGACACCCCTCTTTCCTACTCTCAGATTCTGTGTTCTCTCTCATTCTCTCTCGTTCTCTCTCGTTCTCTCTCTCTCTCTCTCTCACACACACACACACACACACACACACCCTATGATCTGCATGTTTACCTCTCCCTTAAATTAAGGACTTATATTTAAGAGTGCAGAGTAGGGAAAGTGACCCTTAACCTAAAGGAATAACACTCTAATGGAATTTAAAGGACTCAGTAGGGGAGATATTTCTGAGAAAAAATGGGTCTCCATGGACCACCTCATTTCTCTCTTCCCGTCAATATGGAGTTGCCCATCTGGGGAAGAAAGTACAACCTGGATCTCCCATACCTGGGCATACAGGTTCTGCTGAGGATAGGCACTTCGAATAGGGTACATAGCCGTTTGGTAAGGATTAGGTGATGGAGAGTAGGGAGGTGGTGCATTGTTACTCTGGGTGGGTGGGACCTTGTAGGGTGTTCCTGCTGTGTATCCTGTATGGGGACAAAAGAAAGTTTCACATTAGTGGATGTAATAGCATTCTCCCTCCTAACAGCAGCTGAACCAAGAACATGCATGGACAAGCAGCTGAAGCCAGGCCAGAAACAGATAAGCAAGATGATACACAGGAAAGAGTCCTGGATTAGAAGGCAAGAGACCTGCTTTTGATTCCCAGTTGTGCCATGAATTCACTCTATCACCTTACATGGTACAGTGGAAACAGCACTAGCTTTAGAGTCAGAGGACCTGGGTTCAAATTCTGCCTCTTGACACTACTTGTGTGACACCTTTAGGCAAGTCACAATGTTTCTGGGACTCAGTTTCTTTACCTGTAAAATTAGGGATGAGAGGGGATTGCTTTCTAGTTCTATTCTCCTAAGAAGTCATAGCCCTTCTCTGGGCCTCAATTTTCTCATATATAAAATGGGGTTAACAAACTCAACTACAGAGATAGAGCTTGGTGTAGTGGTGAAAGACTCTGGACAATCCAAGAAGGACTTAGGGGTGGTTGGTGGCACGTAACAGGCCTAGCCCTCAGATAATGGTGTCAGAATAAATCCTGGTTACACGAAAAAGCATGGAAAAACATATGGACTGAGGCCAAGTAAAGTAAGCAAAGCCAGGCAAACACTATAATACAATTACAACAATGTAAATAAAAGAACGAGAATTTTTTTCAAACCTGCAAAATTATAATAACCAAGCATGACCCCAAAGATGAGACAAGTAAAGGTACCTCTCCCCACTTCTTTGTAGAGGCAGGAGAACACTGTCACAGAACACTACATATAATGTCAGAGTTTTTAAATATGTTGCTTAATTTTGTTGAACTGTTTCCCTTCTCTTTTAAAAGTACTTTTAAAACTAAGGTATTACTCTCTGCAAGGGGGTTTAGAGAGACACAATGGGAAATGCAGGTGACATAAAAACAAAAGGTAGCGAGAAAACACGTTTTTAAGAAATACTTAGGAAAACTTGAAGTGCCCTATCCTCTCTCCCCCACAAACATATATTGGTTGTGTGACCACAGGCATGTCAATGTCTCAAGCATTCTAAGACTATTAAATTGCAGAGCAGATGCAGATTCGCACCATAGAGGGAGTTTCCTCATCGAGTTCCATATTTACATATGTATATCAACTTAGTCTACCTCATGGGGCTAGGAAATGCCTTCCTTGTACACAGTAGATGCTCAAAACATATTTGCTGAATGAATGAATGAGGGTCAGATGAGAAAATGTGATTGTGAAAGCACTTTGAAGGAATATAATTATTATGGAATAGTTCATCCAAACCAGACCTCTGGGTCATTAAGGGGAACTAATTATAAATGGACTGCTCTGTTCTATTATAACTCAGAAATAAAATAGGGGGTATAAAGAACTCTCACCTGAGAGTCTGAAAATATGAGTTCAAGTCTTGGCTAAGTGACCTCAAGCATACTCCTGCCCCTTGTCTGACCTCAGCCTCTTTACCAACATAATGAAAAACTTGGCACTAAATTATATCTAGGATTCCTGCCAGTTCTGACAATCTCTAACATGCCTTTTCTTTTGTAAACAGCGCTCCCTGGTGTGGAGCATAAAATGAGTTCTTTTGAGTTCTCTTAAAAGGGTTTGATAAAGCCCAGACAGCAAGTGTTGGGTATTGGATCAAGGTTTTAAGTCTGGCTCTGCTAATTAGTGGTATAACCCTGCATATGATATTTCTGCTTTGTGGACCTCTGTTTTCTCCTTTGTAAAATGAGAAAGTTGGACTAGACGGGCCTAGAAGGTCCCTTCTAGCTCTGATGAGATTGTAGGATTCTATAAATGATCTGCAGGAAGACAAATAGGTGTTTATGGATATAGGAAATTCAGAAATGGCTCACTTTTTCTTTAATCTATCTCTCACCTCATCTTCTTTTTGTCCTTTATCTTCCTCTGCATGCTCTCTCATTCGTGACCTCCTTTCTCTTTCCCCCCTACTCCTTATTTCTCTCTGGACTTCTTTCAATTTTTTTTTTTTTTGGTGAGGCAATCGGGATTAAGTGACTTGCCCAGCTAGTGAGAATCATGTGTCTGAGGCCAGATTTGAATTCAGGTCCTCCTGACTCCAGGGCCAGTGCTCTATTCACTGCGCCACCTAGCTGCCCCGACTTCTTTCATTTTCTCTTCTCTTCTTCCTGTTCTCTCCTTTTGTCTCACTAACCAGGTTCCTTTTTATGCTTAAATTCTTTGCCCTTGTTATGATAATTTTTTACTTCTTTTTATTGAATTTTATTATGCCATTCTTCCTGGAACATTTGACTAACTGAAGCCTGTTTCCAGTTAATATTAACCTCATCTGGCTAAAACCTACACATGGAATGATAGTATTAGGGAAAGACTTAATATTTCTGAGATATGAAGTCAAGAGAAGAAGAAAGATTAGGGTTAGAACAGAATCAACAAAATTTTTTAAACCCTCCAAAAAGTGATTTAGCTAACTCTATTTATGGAAAATTTCTCTGACAGTGAACTTTCAGTTACCTTTGTTACATGTAATTCTCTTCTCAATTAGCTCACTGTGACTTCTTTAAAGTATAGCCTTGTAGTTTTGTAAGATTTTGCAAAATCAGTAATTAAATCTGTAACTTAGTCTGTTTATTCATTTGTTCTAACTTCATTTGTTCAATCTTAATTGATGAAAGCATGAAATAATGAAAGTCATTTAATTTCTAATTACCCACAGCCAATTCTCTAAGACTATAAATTGCAAGGTAGTTTTTGCTCTTCTTTGGAGAGCATTTACTTACCAGGAAGTTCCTGATGTGAATGAAATCATAAGTCCATACCAAAAACAAAAATTCCCTTATCAAGTAATATTACATATAATAGTTATCTGTTGTTACCAGATCTTCAGCTCCTTGCGAGTAGGGACCTAATGTTATCTAAACTATATGTAAGGATAGGGATCTACTGAAGGGGATCATGAAGTAAGAACTTATCTCATTGGTTCTTTATACCTCTTTTGGATTGATTCACATATCTCAACTAAGTAAGGCAGGACTACTCTTACATTTACATGGATGTCTCCCCTAGCTCCTAACAATGCACAGCATTGTGCACAGCAGGTGCTGAATTAAACCAGTTTCCTATGCCAAAATGGAAGTGGCCCTTCTGGTCACATGTGTTTTTAGCCTCTTGCTAAAAGGCATGGAAGACCAGAGGCTCCCTTGGGTGGGGGCAGGGAAGGTGGCATAGAAGGGGAAAGAGGAAGGGAGAAAGAGAAGCTTGGGCCTCCAACTACTCCAAACAAAGGTGGTGGGGAGATTTCTCCTCCCTCTCCTTCTCTCTAGCAGCAGCTATTATGGCTACATACATATGACATGAGAGCAAGTGATTGCTTAGCCTGAGACTGTCTTAAGTCCCTAACTACCTCTTATGCTTTGTTTTTCTCCCCCGATAGCAATTCTGCGGTGGATATTCATAGTCTTCAAAAGTCAGGATTCACCGAGAGGTCTGGTTGCTGGCTGCCCTGTGGAAGGAGCTTCCTGTAGCTATCCCCTACTTGGAAGAGCAGATGACCACTGCCAGAGCATGAACTGGCACCTGGACGGCCAAAAGAGATGAACTTCCAATAAATGTTTGGACAGTGAAGACTGACACAAAAATGTAATCTATCTGTTTAGTGGTCCCACAACATGCTTCATGTTTTCAACTCACTTCTCAAGAGAAGTGATAGGTTACAAGTTTTGTTTTTTGTTAACCTGTTTATGGACACCTGTGAGTCCTTTGTCATATGTTACTATTTCATGTTTTAAGTACTTGTTAATGTTCACTGAATAATATTTTGCATTTTAAGTACTTCTTTTGTGTTAGTCCATTTCTGGTGTCACGTGTGCCATGACCTCTGTTAAAGAGACAAGCCTGGAAGTGGTTTGAGCATAGGACCCACCAGAAGGACTAGGATACTGGTATAGCTCCACTATCTGTTACACTATGATGTTAAGAGTCTCTAACTATAAGATCCATGATTCTGTGATGTTAATATTCTAGCATATAATGATTCTAAAATTCTGTTATTCTATGGTTTGAAAGTTCTAACATTTTCAGAGTCTTACGTTTTCATGTCTTCTCTTATGTTCCAAGAATTCCACCCAGATTGAATCTGGCCCTCCGCATAAGGAGGCCTGAATTATCCTTTCTGTGCAAGGACAAATACGGGGGGGGGGGGGGGGGAAGCACAAGAATAACTCAGGGAAAAAAAATCAAAAGGCACCAAGTTACTGCAGATAAATTTTGTTTCCACATCTAAGAATAACCTTTGCGATTATATTCCTTTTTCTTCTTGTTCTGAAATGAGCAAGGCTCTGAACATAAATCAAAAGTCCTGCCATATAAAAGAACAACATCTGGGAATCTGAAAACAGAATCTGAACGTCAGGAGGAGGAGAGATCTTAGAGATCACATATCCAAACATTTCATTTTATAGGAGAGGAAACTAAGTTCCAGAGAAGGGAAGGGAATTGCTCAAGTCCACGAAGAAAACCGAACTAGGACCAGAATCTAAACCAAATATTCCTGACTCTTAATCCAAGGCTCTTAAAAGATCTCACAGTTGGAAGGCCCCCCAGAGGCCATCTACTCCAAACCATGCTTGACACTTGTGGTACAGTGGAAAATGTGTCAGCTTGAGTAAGAAGACTCGAGTTAAAATTTTCCCTGGATTTCCATTTCCTCAATTGTAAAATGAGAGTATTGGACTAGCAGTCTTCTGAGGGCTCTTCCAGCTTTACATCTGTGATCCTAAGATCAAATTAGTATTTTAACTGTCATGTTTTTCATATTTCTGTTTCATATAAATGGGGCCAGCAGGCCCTAGTGATCTTTTCAAAATGAAAACTATATTATTTGGTCATAGCTCCCCCATCTTGTACTTGTGAAGTTGATTTTTTGAATCCATATAGGAAGTTACATTTATGACTATTACTTTTCATCTTCTTAGATTCAGTGTAATATTCTAGCCTGT